TGCTTTGTCCTCTGACCCTATCCCCTCTCAGGTGTTCTCTCTCTCTCATTCTCTCTCTCTCAAATAAATAAAAATAAAATCTTTAAAAAAAAAAAAAGTTACAGAAGTACTACAGAACTCAGATATCATGTACATTATAAAATGTACACTAAATCCGACAAGACTCTAGCTTATTATCAATTTATAGGAAATACAGAGACAAAGAAATATGTTAATTTACACAATGGGATGGCAAGTAATACATCCGACGGCCAGGAGTTCCACAGGACAACCTGTTTCTCCAACAAATGAACTCCAGGGGCCCCTGCGTGGCTCAGACGGTTAAGCGTCTACCTTCGGCTCAGGTCATGATCCCAGGGTCCTGGGATCGAGCCCCGCATGGGGCTCCTCACTCAGCGGGGAGCCTGCTTCTCCCCCTCTGCCTCTCCCCCTGCTCATGCTCTCTCTCTATCTCTGTGTCTCAAATAAATAAATAAAATCTTAAAACAAAAAAAAAGAGCTCCAATCTTATTTGCATACTGATTCCAAAAGAGGAAACACCTGACAGAGGGTGAGAGGGTATTTGATGTGCAGAAAATGTTCCTTTTTTTAGATGTGACAATGGGGGCCTGGGTGGCTCAGTGGGTTAAGCATCTGCCTTCGGCTCGGGTCATGATCTCAGGGTCCTGGCCTGCTTCTCCCTCTGCCTCTGCCTCTCTCCCTGTCTCTCATGAATAAATAAATAAAATCTTTAAAACAAAAAAAATAAAAAGATGGTGCTCGTAAATGCTAAAAATTCAGCTCTCCAGGAAAAAATATGTTTATAAAAAAAAAAAAAGATGTGACAATGGCATTGTCATTAAGTTTTAAAAACAAAGATGAGTTCTTACCTATAAGGATATATACCAGAATGCTTACAGATAAATTAATATGATGATTGGGATTTGCTTCAAAATAATACAAAGAGAGAGAAGTGGGATTATAAGTGAACCATAATTGGCCCTGAGTTGACAATTATTAACACAGATGATAATTATTGAAGGCAGTTTACAATGCTATTCTGTCTACTGCTGTATGTCTGGAAATCTCCATAATAAAAAGTAAAACAAACAGACAAGGTAAGGATGAAATAACCTATTTTTTAAATGTATTATTACCACTAGAACACCTGTCTTACTCACTAAAACATCCAGTAATGTTTTTTGTGAGGGCACCATCATTCAGTGCCCTATCTCATGAGAATGCTATTGCTTGTATTCCGGGGGACAGCTGAAGGGCAGCTGGTTGGAGGAGAACGGTCACCCCCAGAGATTCTTAGAGCCTACTCCTGCTTGGTTACCCCCCATCCACCCACATTCCCAGGGCCTCACCATGCACCAGGAAGGATTCTAAGCACTTTGCAAGTATTACCTGACTCAATGCTTAAATAATTAAATCATCTTCAATTCAGGATTTCTATGTAAGAATTATTTTAAGCCACTTACAATCTTGTACCCTACAAAATTTAGGCAAAGGACACAACTCCTAAGTCCACTTGACCGAAATATCTATGAACTACAATGTCGCCAATATAGAAAACAGAGCCAAGGCAGCCCTCTCAGGACCCCGGACTGTTGTCTCAACTCCTGTATGTGCCAAGTGGCCATCTGACTTATATAAAGGGTAGGGGCTTTGGCAGCATCCAGTCCATTCAATATGGTAAAACCCTAACTTTTTTTTTTTTTTTAAGATTTTATTTATTTATTTGAGAGAGAGCACATAAGAGGGGGGAGGGTCAGAGGGAGAAGCAGACTCCCCGCTGAGCAGGGAGCCTGATGCGGGACTCAATCCAGGGACTCCAGGATCATGACCTGAGCCGAAGGCAGACGCTTAACCAACTGAGCCACCCAGGCGCCCAGTAGCCAGAGTGATTTTAAACAGCCACACAAACTCAGAATGCCGAGTGGTCTCATGCTTAAATATCTCACCTTGTTTTCTTGATCTCCTGGTTCGGCAGCTTCATCTCTGGAGACAAATTTATCTATACTGCTGTCAGAGGGCTGCCTGCTGTGGCCCATACTTTTCAATAAATGTGCTTGCTGCAGGGCTTCAAAATCAGAGAAATCGAGATTGAGTGACAAGTTTCCAATTTAAAAAAACAATATTCATATTTATACAAAGTCCACATGGAACTACAGGATTTAGATCAAGAACAAGGACAGTCATTCCTCAACTGACCTTCCTCATTTGCTATTTACAACTCAGAAAACAAAGATACCCGAAGATTTCTTCTTGGAAGCTAAGGTAAAATTGAGATGTCAGGGTTGAAAACAAGACCATTCCACAGCGCACCGCTTAAGTCTGCATACCAACTGAAGAGCTTCTGAAAGCATCTACGTCTTCATCCGGAAGAATGCCCGTGGCTTCCTCATCCTCGTCCTGTGGCTGTCCGATCTGCATCCCCGAATACTGGCTGTCGGCACCATCTAACACCTGCACGGTTCAAGAGGGGCTGGTGAGGGCTCTGAAGGGACATCACCGAGGGACAGGCTCTCTGACACAGAAAGGCAAAGGCAAAGCCAGAAATCACATGGACCACATCTCACGTATTCACACAAAGGTCATTTCCTGAAATGCACGGAGATGCATGCATGTCAATGGTCAAGCTTCACTGATCACACATTGCTATTACGTTACAAAAAGCTTTACAACTATAAAACTACCAAAGAAATTCCAACCTGAAAATTTCTCTGTGATATTAAAAAAAAAAAAATCTAAACAAAAATCTGTGTCTTCACAAGCAAGTTTTACAGTAAGTCAACAATGAGGAAAATCTTTTAGAAAAACACCTAACACTACACCAGGTTAGCTTCTAAACTGCTAGAACTAAATCAACTCAGTTTTGGACAGAATATATCATATACCTGGCCATAAACTTGAATTATGATTCCATACTGCAAAACTTTTCACATTCACTTGAAATCTCATGTAATTTACTTGAAAAACTGAGTGACGGAACCTCAATACACTACCAATAACTGAAATAAATTCTGTATCATTTTTAAAAAGTCATTCCAAATCCTTAGAGTTAAATAAAAAACATCAAGCCACATGTTCAAAATCAACCAAGAAAGGAATGATGTTCTCCACTCTCCCAATTAGTTTACCCAAAAAACCTTACCTCAGTTAAAAAATATATATTAAAATGAAAAACTTTACCATAATAAAAACAATACTTTTTGAATATTTTACTACACCCCAGGCAGAATCAAAAAACACTTTATATGTATCATTCCCCTTAAGGTCCGTAAGTCTTACAATGCAAGTACTGTTACCCTCAATTTGTGGATAAGAAAACTGAGGCAAGAAGAGACACAAGTGCTCCAGGCTACACGCTTAGAAGTGGCCGAGCCAAAATTCTCATCCTGTGGCTCCCGGCAGCAGTCCCTCAGCCACCACACTGGGCTGTCTCATGAGGAAATTCCCTATCCCTTTCACTTGTTTCTTTTTCTCTATGCACTCATCACCATCTGACTATGTATTTGTTTACTTATTGATTGATTACTGGCTTATTATCTGCCCCCCCACACATATGCACACGCTCTAGAATAGGGGTAGTTAAGCCACGGCCTAATGACTAAACCTGGCTCACCACCTGTTTTTGTAAATAAAGTTTTACAGGAATGCTAGTTCATTTACATATAGTCAATGCCTGCTTTCACACCACAGAGGCCGAGAGGAGCATACGCCAGAGGCCATATGGCTTAGAAAGCCACACATCTTTGCTGTCCAGCCCAATAGGGAAGGAGTCTCGTGACTCCAACTCTAGAACATAAGCTTCGTGTGAGCAGTTTTGTATGTTGTGCCCTCTACTTCATCCCCAGCTTGTGAACAATCGCTGGAACTTAACAGGTGCTCAGTACACTTGTTCAGCAAATAATTAATGATTACCTAACAGGCATGGAAGCATCCCATAAACCAGAAAAGAACTCCACCAATGTGGGAATTATCAAGGTAAGATGTTCATTCTCTACAGGCCACAGAGACCTGCAGAGGTCCCATTCCCAGCACTGCTACCCAGTGAACAACGGGGTAATTTCAGAAGACCAAAAAAGTTTTCAGAGTTTCCTATGGCCTTTCATTCCTAATTCTAACAAATTCACCAGAAATCATCCATTGTAAAGAGGCAAGATACCCCATGGAAGCTGGTGCAATAAACACACAGCAGAATCTCCCCCCACACACACACACACACACTTACCAGCCAGCACTTTCCCTAACCTTGTCTTCTCCCTGCATACTGGCTAGAATTTCTTCACCCTTTCCTTACTTAAAATCCCTTTCCCACTATTCCAATTATTTGTCCTACCCTTCTCCAGGTCTTCTAGTTAAAACCCCAACTGTGAGCCCACTTCTCTACCCGAGGAATTATAAATCCACGTGGCCATCAGAAACTGAATCCACATGACAACTGCTCAATAGGGACATACAAGTGTTTTATCTCCTGATTTGTCGTTCAATGCTTCTGCATTCATCCACATAAAAAAGCCTAAAAACCAAACCAAAACAAAACAAAAACATTCTTAATAAAATCTATTCAATAGTAACAGAACACTTAATAGTACGAATTGTTTTTTAAAAAACAGAGCATTAAACTCTGTATCACTTTTACCAAAGTTGGTGAATAGACCATCCTTAAGGAGCTTCTTGTCCACTAGCTCAGAGACCAGAAATACTTAAATCCATGCTCTATAAGATGAGATATGTTGTAGAAGGTTTTGAAAAGCCAAAAAAACGTTAAATACACAATATTAATTTTTTAATTACAATGCATTAAGACCACAGATCTGTTAATAAATAGGCTCCTTACGGATTTTTTAAATGATTTAATCTGTGCCCAACAAGTTCTTAAAGAATTTAAAATGCATTCAATTTTAGCAAAGTTCATATCATCAACTAACCTAATTTCTGACCTCCATGTTCAACACAAATGACACTCGGCCATTGCCTTCAGGGAGGGTCTCAGATGGGGTTGAACTCCCCATTAATGACCTGAGTTGGTGACCTCTGCTCTCTTATTAGTGAGTCAGATGGGAAGAAGGAAATGAGCAGGAGGGTCTAGGTCTGGGCCTGCAGGCGAGAGCCCTCCCCACCCACTTACAATTTCAGAACTGTCTGAAGGGGTCACAGCCGAATCAGGCCCCTCGGTGGTGGTCTGGGAGCTGTCGCTGACTGGGGAGGAGGCCTGGGTGCCATCGTTCAGGTCCATGGCCGGGTCAGACGGGACGGCACTGATCTGGCTGGAGCTGTGGCTCAGGATGTCCTCCTCATCCCCGTCGGTGGCAGCGCTCGCCAGGTCACAGCCGGTCAGATCCACCGAGTCTGGCTGTAGCGTGTGCTGTGACCGGGGCTGCTCAGTGATGATGTCGTGGCCCACGGAGTCAGTGGCTGAACTGGCAGAGCCAGGAGTGGAGACCCCGGAAGAGGCAGCCAGCTCGCCACCAATCTCACCCTTGACTGAGGCTGAAGACAAAAAAACATTCATTCCTCAAAGGGCCAGGAAAACATTCAACAGGGTTCAAATGCTTACAAAATACCCCAAAATTCACTGTCACCAAATGTTTTAACTGCAAAAAAATCATGAAATACAGTGAAAATTTGAACTAGTAAATTTCAAAGGCAAGACAAGAGTGCATTCTTCAAACATTACTAAAATTGCTTTGGGCGCCTGGGTGGCTCAGTTGGCTAAGCGACTGCCTTCAGCTCAGGTCATGATCCTGGAGCCCCGGGATCGAGTCCCATGTCAGGCTCCCCGCTCGGTGGGGAGTCTGCTTCTCCCTCTGACCTTCCCCCCTCTCATGCTCTCTCTCTAATAAATAAAAAAAAATTTTTTAAAAATCTTTAAAATTGCTTTTTACTGTATTCTTGACTTACCTTTTACTCTATTACCATGTCATAGTCATAAAATAAGGATTATCAGTAGATATTTTTTAAATGCTATATATGAATATTCTCAGATGGTATTCCACTGTAAAAACTGAAGTATGCTCGGTAACAATACCACTTCAAGCCCTTGAGCAACTGCTCCAGCCTCAGCTTGGAAGGTTCTGCGACCCACAGGCAGCCCAGTCGGGCACAAGCCGGTCGGCCGCGCTCGCTCAGCAGGCCGCGCTCAGAAACGACAGAAGGTCACCATCTCTCTGATGTGGGCTTTCCTTCTCCCCAGACCCTGTTCAAGACCTCTAAGCAGCCAGTCCTACCCTCCCGTAGGGCAACTTTGCAGCATGTTTTCCTAGTTTGGTTTTTAAACTCTCATTAAAAAAAGCCACACACTACATAAAAATCACTACAAGAAGATCTACACCAAGGTGTTGGCGGTCTCGCCTAGAGACCACTGGGTCAGTGAGCACTTGAGCTTTATAATGTGGTGGAGAGCTGTAATTTTGTTTTTCTTTTTTCACTTCTATAATTTAAAAAAATTTTTTGTTTTATAAAAGTAAGTGAATAAATAATCACCACCAGAATTATTCAGATTCTCCTTCCCAAATACTTTAGTCTTATTTTTAGTTGTCTAAAAATATTCTTTTGGACAGGATTATACAGTCCAAACCACTCTCATTTAATCCAATTATTAGCATATTAATCAATACTTCTCTCTCATAAAGTGAATAAAGAATCTGTAAAGAAATGTAAATTTCTGGGGTGCCTGAGTGGCTCAGTCGATGAAGCGTCTGCCTTCAGCTCAGGTCATGATCCCAGGGTCCTGGGATCGAGCCCCACATCAGGCTCTCTGCTCAGTCTGCTTCTCCCTCTCCCTCTCCCTGCTGCTCCCCCTGCTTGTATTCTCTCTCTGTCAGATAAATAAATAGAATCTTAAAAAAAAAAAAAGAAAAAGAAAAGAAATGTAAATTTCTTTCAAGTTAAGCTATCCACAGACAATTTTTAATCCCATCTTCCCCTCACAACCCATGTAATTCATGAGACACTTATCTACCACCCCCAACTACATAAGAAGACTTATGCTCAGGGAGTATAAACCTAATTTTAAAAGAGCCTAAGTCAAGGAAAAGAGCAAATATTTGATGCAAGAAAACACACACACACGTTTCAAAGTAAATGTTTTAAAAAGAGTGAGAATTAGCCACCATTTGAGCAAGCTGGCTTCACCGCTATCCCCAGGAGCACAGTCCCTCATAAGGGGCAGGAGAGGGGCAGGAAAGGGGCCAGAAAAAAGGTGGGAGGGGGCACCACTGCCCCTCCCTGAGAGCTACCTGTGAAGGCGGGGCTGCTGCCCTCCGACCTGGACTCGGAGTCATCCTCCAAGGCCGCTGCTTCTCCGAAGAGCACTTTCCCTAGGAAATGATGTAGCAAGAATCCTTAAGCTTGCTACAGGAAGGACTTCAAAAATCAAACAGATGCACATTCTAAGTGGAAAATCATAAGCACATTTAATTCATTCTCTGATACGGTAAATATAAAGTATTTTTATACCCCTAGTGTGCTAAACACAAAGAACGCCAAGATATTGTTTTTAGATATTATTAAAATCAGTAAACCATTACAGCACAAAGTTAAAAGCAATGATTCTCAAACTATAACACCAAGTATTTTGATGATTAGTATTTACTGACTTAGATCTGTATTAATGTTGGATAATTTATACTACTATTTGATCTTAAAGACCGTAAACTATGGCTAGAACCAATTCTATTAGCCCTTAGGACAGCCACATCGTATTTTCAGTGGCAATCAGAGTGTACACCTAACTGCTGGGCACCTGACACTAATGTAACGCTACATGCTAGCCAACCAGAATCAAAATAAAAACTGAGAAAGAGAAAGAGTTCACACACAGAACTGTCACCCTGCAGGTCCCTTCTACTCTGTTCTCCTTTAAGCTGCCAGACTCTATGGTGATAATCAGAACTGAGCGCTGTATGATCTGGGAAGATGGAATAATAGTTCATCTTTTACAAAGTTGTAAAAACATATTTTACAATTCTTGGTTTCCAAATTATATCAATTTATGTTATATTGGTAAGAAAAAAAGAAAAGTCTTAACATGATTTAATTGGACTAATTATATCATTATGGTTACATTACACATAAAGGTCACTAAATGACACTCTAGAAATAATTATTGGCAATTTCCAATGTCTAACTTCACTACTTTCCAAGGAATAGGTCATAGGAGTGACAACTTCCAGAAATCTATACTGATGTGACATTAAAGGGGGAAAACGGCAAAGAAAAAGCAAAGGAAACCCAAAATCTAGATAAAATTAACACAGCAACTTGGCTTATCTAAGTAACAGGGTCATTCCTTACAGAACAAGTGGCTGACCCTGAGAAAGCAAGTAAAATCCACCCTGCGCGTGAGGGGTTAATGAGAGCAGTCTCTGTCCTCAGAATCAGGATTTGTCCCCCTGTTCCAAGGAGCCCCCCCTCAAGGGGTACAAGGTCCCAGCTGCCACCAGAAGGGCCACCAGGCCACCACACCAGCTCCTGCCCTCATCCCACATCCAACATCAACTCTGCTGTTCTCTCTCACAGATCTGCAGATCTCATGTGGAGAAAAAAAGGACTTTTGCAACTATAACAAAAAAAGCTTAAAACTGCAGCTCTCGATGAAAAAGGAAAACAAAACAAAAAAAACACTAGAAACACAAAAAAGATATTGAGGACATACCAGCTTCCTACCCAGAAGGAACAGCTCATCTCAACGGTGGACCGCCCGGGAAGGCGGCTAAGCAACAAGGCACCTCAGTCACGGTCCCTTCCTGCTTCAGGAACAGAGAGACCGACTTTGCCTGGAAGCTGGTGGCCTTCAAACAACCTCAGTGTTTCACCAAAATCTCACACTTGATTAAATATTCTACACTATGATGGCCCAAATATGATGGATTCTAGGTTCTAGGAAATGTTTACTTAACCCAGTCAAGGCCAGAATATTAGACCTGCTAAGGTCCCATTCAATACTGCGAGTAATACTAGGCATTAGGCTCCCAAACCCTCAACTCACGACACAAAAAAATATTCTTATGTTGTATATCGATTATACCTCAATAAATTCTTAAAAAGATTTGTCTTTTAAGATTTCAGAATAGAAAATGGCAGCAATTCTTTCCTATGGAAATCCAGACCGGAAAAGAAAACAATTGGTGTGGTGAAAAAGTGTTCATGTGTACTAAAACTATCCGATTAGAGATCAGAAACCCTTTAATAAAAATAAATTGACAGTTACCAGAATGTTCTGGCATGTGCATAGCTAAATATGGCTGAAAAATTATCATCAGCCCAAATTAACCCAATAATTAACCAAACATCATTCCTCACTAATGTTACACAGAATTCATAGGAAAGGTAAGTTACCTTTACAAAACATAACACAGTCTCTCAGGCAAGGAGCAGGCAAACTAGGGCAGGCCTACTTCTGGAAATCCAGTTTCATGGGAAGGAAGCCACAGCCGTGAGCTGAGCATCACCCGTGGCTGCCTTCTGAGCCGAATAGAGAGGAGGCAGGAAGGCCCACAAGGCTAAAACAGGCCCTTTACAGAAAAAGTTTGCTGACCCCTGACCGAAAGCATTAGAAATTTATGACAAAGCCATTTTGATTCAAGCAATTTTCAAAAGCCGCCCTCCAGAATCATTCTAAGCCCAGTTATATTTATACACACAATCGCTCTGTGGAGAAGAGTACGGGCACAGTCGACAGCATTACAGAAATACAGAAAAAGCAGCGAGACTCAACATGAGACTCTGATTTCTGAGATAATCACCTTTTTGTTTTCTTGAAAGGACAGGGCTGCATGAAGAACCCCCTCCAGCTGTAAATCACAGAAAATGACAGATGAAATTAAGGTAACAAGCAGCTAAAATGCAGAAGGCATTTGAAAATCTTCAAAAAGCGTGATTCAACTTTAGAACTACAAAGTGTGTGAACGAACGTATTTCCTCAGGCGGTGCTTAAACCCCGCACTGCAACACCTGAATCCTGACACACGAAAATCACACCAACACCCCAATACACAGTTCTAAAGATACGACGTAAAATGTCAAAGAAGTGCAAATAACGTGCATTTAAAAAGTCAAATTAAAAACATGAGAAATCTCAAATTGCTTGGTCAACTACTAATCAAATACAAATTTCCATTGGAAACAATCATTAGTCATTAGTGTTTGTATGGCATGCATTCCACAGAGAAAAGGATTCTGGAGTACACAGGACGTGGACAGGCACATCCTCATTTTCTGCTCGTGGCTCAGGCAAACATTTATGTTCAAACGAGGCAGCAATGACGTCTCTAGGTCGCCAACGCTGCTGAGTAAAGGCCATGCGGCGCGTGCACTGTACTAAATCAGCTCAGGTGAGGCCTGGAGTCCACAGAGGCCCCAGGAGCCTCCTCTGTGGCAAAGCCAGCTCTAAAGGCCATGCTTCAGGGATCCCACCTACTCCAGCTCGCAGGGGCTGGAGGAAAACCAGTGGTCAGGCCGCAGGGCAGCACCCTGTGGAGGGATGAGGGCCCAATCCCCAAAAGCGTAAAGAAGAGTAGTGGCGGCGTAGAGGAGGGGGTGTCCTAGAGTCAGTGAGGACAGCAAAAAAGGGCCTCAAGGGTAGAAAGGAACTCTAAAATCCCCACAAGGACCTGAAGATCCCATCCCTGGCCCAGCGGCACGAGGGTCCTGCAAAACTTTCCCCAATTTTCATTTCACGATGGACGAGATACCACGGGGAGGTGGCCGGGTCAGAGTGGAGAAGCCAGCTTCAGAGGCAGGCCTCATGTTGTCACCTAACCTTGCCACCCTCCCGTCCTCCCGCCTACAGCCTGGGTGTCTGCGGAGCTGAGCCGCGCCCTGCCCGGTGCAGTGGCGGCCCCAGGTCCCACGAGGGGGCCGGCGTGGCACAGGGTCCCGCAGCAGCGAACGCACCTAGCAGCTCCACAATGCTGCCGCTGCG